GTTTGAGGCATGATTCATGGCGGATTTAGTCAGTTGTGTCAGGAACTGGTGGTTTGAAATCCAGACTAATCCACGCCTGATTCATTTTCACAAACGTGAGTCTCTCCACACTTTGGGTGGACAGTCGTGTCCTCCGCGGAGTTACAATACCTCCTGCCGCACTAAACACGCGCTCCGATGCCACGCTACTGGCCGGGCATGACAGCCTTTCAAGGGCAAATTCAGCTAGTTGGGGCCAAAGGTCAAGTTTCGTTGACCAGTAGTCAAGGGGATTGTCTACCTCGGTTGGCAGGGGTGCTGTCCAAGTAGGCCCAAGCCTGTTGTTTGAGCTCCTGCTCCAGGTCCACCTGATGCTGCTGCTGCTGCTGCTGCTGCGGCTGGTTAGTAGTTTCCTCACTGCGCTGGTGAAGAAAGCTACTCATCATCGACTGCAGACTGAGGCAGCCGCTGCTGGTGGAGCTGCCACTGCTCCTACCACCCCACCCCTCCCCTGCTGCCATGGCAGCGGAACGCGAGCGCACAGGGCCCACAGTGTCTGAGGATGGACGTTGGCGCACAAAGGCAGAGACCAACTGACTACATAGGTGGTTTTTATAGTACGTTATTTTGGCCTCCCTCTCAGCAGGTGTGAAAAAGGCCACCATTTTTGAACGGTAGCGAGGGTCCAACAAGGTGGACAGCCAAAAGTCATCCCTCTGTCTGATGGTTATTATTCGGCTGTCGCTACGCAAGCAACCGAGCATGCTATGGGCCATTTGTGCCAAGGAATGCGAGGGACTCCCTGCCTCCATCTCCACAGCATACTGCCACGGTGCGTCTGGGTCCTCTGTCTCCTCCTCCTCCTCCTCTACCAGATGCTCCTGCTCCTCCACTCCTGTCCGCTGAGTGGAAAAACCACCCATTTCACTCAATAATTCCTGAGCACAAATGTCCTCCTCTACCTCCTCCTCTTCTTCCTGTCCTGCCCCCACAGGGGTCATGTGGCGTTGAGATCTGTGCGCCACGTCTACCGCACCCTGACCAGCCATTGTTAACAGCATTTGTTCAAGGACGTGCAACAGAGGAATGACGTCGTTCATCCCATAGTCCTGCCGACTCACGAATAGCGTGGCCTCCTCAAAGGGCCTGAGCAAGCGGCAGGTGTCACGCATGAGCTGCCAATGGCTGACATCGAAGTTACACAGGGGAGTACCTTTATCCGCTTGTAACATCAGGAAATCGGTGATGGCCTTTCGCTGCTCGTAAAGGCGGTCTAACATGTGTAGGGTTGAATTCCACCTTGTTGCAACGTCGCAGATCAGGCGATGATGTGGAATTCCGTTCTGCCGCTGCAGCTCAAGGAGGGTGTGCTTTGCGGTGTAGGAATGGCTGAAATGCATGCAAAGTTTACGTGACATTTTAAGGATGTCTTGCAGTGGGATGGTGGATTTTAGGAACCGCTTGACAACCAGATTGAACACGTGAGCCATGCATGGCGCATGGCACAACCTTCCTTGACGCAGAGCAGACACCATGTTCTTTCCGTTGTCGGTCAACATGGTTCCGATTTTCAGTTTGCGCGGAGACAGCCATCTGTCGATTTCTCTGTTCATTACACTCAGAAGTTCCTCCCCTGTGTGACTACGTTCGCCTGGACCTGGCAGCAGCATGAGGAGGCGGTATATAGGGGCCCATGGCAGATTAGGGGCCTGGCAGCAGCTATGGGAGGCCCGTAATCTGCCAGCACCCTATGTCAAAAAATTCAACACACCAGCAGTGTGTGAGGAGACCTGAAAGTGGCACATGGCATGAGAGACTGTGGACCTGGCCAGCAGCATGAGGAGGCGGTATAGGGGCCCATGGCAGATTAGGGGCCTGGCAGCAGCTATGGGAGGCCCGTAATCTGCCAGCACCCTATGTCAAAAAATTCAACACACCAGCAGTGTGTGAGGAGAGACCTGAAAGTGGCACATGGCAGAGTGTGGCGATGGAGACAGCAGCAATGGGGGGCCGTACAGGGACCCATGACAGACTCTGGACCTGGCAGCAGCATGAGGAGGCGGTATATAGGGGCCATGGCAGATTAGGGGCCTGGCAGCAGCTATGGGAGGCCCGTAATCTGCCAGCACCCTATGTCAAAAAATTCAACACACCAGCAGTGTGAGGAGACCTGAAAGTGGCACATGGCATGAGAGACTGTGGACCTGGCAGCAGCATGAGGAGGCGGTATATAGGGGCCCATGGCAGATTAGGGGCCTGGCAGCAGCTATGGGAGGCCCGTAATCTGCCAGCACCCTATGTCAAAAAATTCAACACACAGCAGCAGTGTGGAGGAGACCTGAAAGTGGCACATGGCAGAGTGTGGCGATGGAGACAGCAGCAATGGGAGGAGCCTACAGGGACCCATGAGAGACCTGGACTTGGCAGCAGCATGAGGAGGCGGTATATAGGGGCCCATGGCAGATTAGGGGCCTGGCAGCAGCTATGGGAGGCCCGTAATCTGCCAGCACCCTATGTCAAAAAATTCAACACACCAGCAGTGTGTGAGGAGACCTGAAAGTGGCACATGGCAGAGTGTGGCGATGGAGACAAACCCACCGACTGTTTTGCTCGCTGCCAGCTGCCACCCTCTTCTCCTGATGATGCGGAAGCAATAGCCTGATGACGACGAGGCTGCCAAGTGCGATCAGCCTCATCATCATCAATTAGGGTCTCCGCCTCACTACTAGCCCCCTCGGCTGCGTGTGGGTCAGGAGACAGACCTGTCTCTACACCGGCTACCGAGCCACTCTCCTCGCCACTACTTCTTCGCCTGGCTGCTGAAGAGGCGGATGTCTGCCCCCCCGTTCCTGACCGCCCTCTGTTAGCTCTTCCTCACTGTACTGGATGACACCGGGAGCACTAGCCTCTGGCTGCGAATAGTGCTGCCTCGACCCCTTCCTCTGCTGCCACGTCTGCTCGCTCCTAAAACATTGCCTCCTCTGCCACTCCTCTGCATGTTGTCTGACATACTCTTTAATTAAACGATTCTGTGTCCCTGAGTAACAATTCTGTGGCCCTAAGTAACGGTTCTGTGGCCCTCAGTAACAGTTCTGTGTCCGTGAGTAACAATTCTGTGTCTGTGCGAGTAACAATTCTGTGGCCCTAAGTAACAGTTCTGTGGCCCTCAGTAACAATTATGTGTCCCTAAGTAACGGTTCTGTGGCCCTCAATAACAATTCTGTGTCCCTGTGTAACAATTCTGTGTCTGTGCGAGTAACAATTCTGTGGCCCTAAGTAACAGTTCTGTGGCCCTCAGTAACAGTTCTGTGTCCCTGAGTAACAATTCTGTGTCTGTGCGAGTAACAATTCTGTGGCCCTAAGTAACAGTTCTGTGGCCCTCAGTAACAGTTCTGTGTCCCTGAGTAACAATTCTGTGTCTGTGCGAGTACCAATTCTGTGGCCCTAAGTAACAGTTCTGTGGCCCTCAGTAACAATTCTGTGTCCCTGAGTAACAATTCTGTGGCCCTAAGTAACGGTTCTGTGGCCCTCAGTAACAATTCTCTGGCACTCAGTAAACAATTCTGTCTGTCCCTGAGTAACAATTCTGTGGCCCTAATAACGTTTCTGTGGCCCTAAGTAACAATTATCTGGCACTCAGTAACAATTCTGTCTGTCCCTGAGTAACAATTCTGTGGCCCTAATAACGTTTCTGTGGCCCTAAGTAACAATTATCTGGCACTCAGTAACAATTCTGTGGCCCTAAGTAACAGTTCTGTGGCCCTCAGTAACAGTTCTGTGTCCCTGAGTAACAATTCTGTGTCTGTGCGAGTAACAATTCTGTGGCCCTAAGTAACAGTTCTGTTGCCCTCAGTAACAATTCTGTGGCCCTAAGTAACGGTTCTGTGGCCCTCAGTAACAATTCTGTGTCCCTGTGTAACAATTCTGTGTCTGTGCGAGTAACAATTCTGTGGCCCTAAGTAACAGTTCTGTGGCCCTCAGTAACAGTTCTGTGTCCCTGAGTAACATTTCTGTGTCTGTGCGAGTAAGAATTCTGTGTCTGTGCGAGTAACAATTCTGTGGCCCTAAGTAACGGTTCTGTGGCCCTCAGTAACAGTTCTGTGTCCCTGTGTAACAATTCTGTGTCTGTGCGAGTAACAATTCTGTGGCCCTAAGTAACAGTTCTGTGGCCCTCAGTAACAATTCTGTGTCCCTGATTAACGTTTCTGTGGCCCCAAGTAACAGTTCTGTGGCCCTCAGTAACAATTCTGTGTCTGTGCGAGTAGTAACAATTCTGTGTCTGTGCGAGTAACAATTCTGTGGCCCTAACAGTTCTGTGGCCCTCAGTAACAATTCTGTGTCCCTGATTAACGTTTCTGTGGCCCCAAGTAACAGTTCTGTGGCCCTCAGTAACAATTCTGTGTCTGTGCGAGTAACAATTCTGTGTCTGTGCGAGTAACAATTCTGTGGCCCTAAGTAACAGTTCTGTGGCCTTCAGTAACAATTCTGTGTCCCTGATTAACGTTTCTGTGGCCCCAAGTAACAGTTCTGTGGCCCTCAGTAACAATTCTGTGTCTGTGCGAGTAACAATTCTGTGTCTGTGCGAGTAACAATTCTGTGGCCCTAAGTAACAGTTCTGTGGCCCTCAGTAACAGTTCTGTGTCCCTGAGTAACAATTCTGTGTCTGTGCGAGTAAAAATTCTGTGTCTGTGCGAGTAACAGTAACAATTCTGTGGCCCTAAGTAACAGTTCTGTGGCCCTCAGTAACAGTTCTGTGTCCCTGAGTAACAATTCTGTGTCTGTGCGAGTAACAATTCTGTGGCCCTAAGTAACAGTTCTGTGGCCCTCAGTAACAGTTCTGTGTCCCTGAGTAACAATTCTGTGTCTGTGCGAGTAACAATTCTGTGTCTGTGCGAGTAACAATTCTGTGGCCCTAAGTAACGGTTCTGTGGCCCTCAGTAACAGTTCTGTGTCCCTGTGTAACAATTCTGTGTCTGTGCGAGTAACAATTCTGTGGCCCTAAGTAACAGTTCTGTGGCCCTCAGTAACAATTCTGTGTCTGTGCGAGTAACAATTCTGTGGCCCTAAGTAACAGTTCTGTGCCCTCAGTAACAATTCTGTGTCTGTCCCTGAGTAACAATTCTGTGGCCCTAACTAAAGTTTCTGTGGCCCTAAGTAACAATTCTCTGGCACTCAGTAACAATTCTGTCTGTCCCTGAGTAACAATTCTGTGGCCCTAATAACGTTTCTGTGGCCCTAAGTAACAATTATCTGGCACTCAGTAACAATTCTGTCTGTCCCTGAGTAACAATTCTGTGGCCCTAATAACGTTTCTGTGGCCCTAAGTAACAATTCTCTGGCACTCAGTAACAATTCTGTCTGTCCCTGAGTATGAATTCTGTGTCCCTAACTAGCGTTTCTTTGTCCCTAAGTAACGATTCTGTGGCCCTAATTAACAAATCTGTGTCCCTGAGTAATAGTTCTCTGTCCCTAAGTATCGTTTCTCTGTCCCCAAGTATCGTTTCTGTGGCCCTAACTCTGTCCCTGTCCCTAATACAGAGCGGTCTGCCTCTGTTCAATGACTGCAGGCAAATGAAGAATTCCAAAATGGCCGCTATTTATAGCTCGACCATTACACAGTGCTAGCTGGCTGGCTGCTGATTGGCTGATGCGATCACATGTCGTTGAGGAATGCATTATGGGTCAGCGCGCCTTGTCTGCGCGCCTTCCCAGACATCCCCGCTCCGTCGCCGCACATGTCAGCCGCCATTTTCGGAAAAAGTTCGATTCGCGCGTCCGAATTAGGCTATTTTTCGGATTCGCATTTTTCCAATATTCGACTCGAATTCCACTTCGGCTACTTCGATTCGCTCATCTCTAAAGATAATGATAACCATAGTGTCACACACAAAATAATTATACATTTCTAATTCCTATACACGTCCACCAAGGTCACACTTGAAATTTGCTTTCCTGTCCCATGATTGGTCAGATCTTCTCTGGTACCTGTAAAAGCAGTCCAATTTTATTTTAATAGGATCAAATTTCAGATTAGAAGAGGGATTATCTCTTTTTGTCTACAATTAATTTTTGCACCATTGCTCTTGGGACTGTAGTGATGAATTATCTTTTATAACCATGACCCTAAAAATACATTGTCAGTCCTAATTCATTTAGATTCAATTAAGCTGGAAAAAACAGTTGATGATGATGTCACTTAGACAAGAACCTTTCTATGTCATTATAGACAATTATCAGGAGACCATGACAATCAATTACAAGTTGGAAAGAGAAACATCAAGATAATTATACAATATTAATAAACATAGTGCCACACATAAAATAATTACACATTTCTAATTCCCATAGATATCCACCTAGGTCACACTTGAAATTTGCTTTCCTGTGCCATGATTGGTCAGATCTTCTCTGGTACCTGTATAAAAGGTGATCCAGAAGATGAATGTCACACCAAGCTTGAGAGAGAGAAGATATTTCACATTACAGGGTAGGAGAATTCTGAACAAGATGAATGAAAAGGTCTTCCTCCTGCTTCTGGGCTGTGTTACGGGGCTGGTGACCAGTCTACCTCTATCAGCACCAATACAGGTGAGATGATGATCTGGCATGAACAGTACAGGGGACAGGGGAAAACTAGATTTAGGAAAAAAAAAACATCCTATAAGTTACTGACCATAACAGCTAGTTTTTCCCCTTTAGTTTTGGAGAAAGTGGTGAGGGGTTAGGAATCTTGGCAGATTTTACCAGTCGACTTCTTATTACTGTCTGGGTCCCCTGTAGGGAGATTTGACCATTGTCTTGACCATTGCCAGAAGGTGATGGGAAAGTGATGGGAAATCCACAATGTTATAGATGTGAACAGAACAGGGGGTACGCTATAATCTTCCACTGATGACTGTTGTGGTAACATCTAAGAACAACTAAGAAAGGGTTTTACCTTCATTTTAAGATATTTTCAGGAGGGCTGTGGAGGACTCTGCCAGATGGGGATGGGTTGGGGCAAGGCTTGTTATCTGTTATTATTGTATATAATTTTAAATAAGTTATTTATACAAAACATTTAATTTTCAGTACTATCTAGCTGGAGTGAAGAAAGATGGTAAGCTTTTTAACATTCTTATATAAAGAATCATTTTTGATATGCTTCTATTCTTTATTTTGTTTATCCTGCTTTTTTCCCAAGTCATTAGTCCTTTTTTAATAACATTCCTAATCCTAACTCCAAATTCCTAAGTCAATCATTTTTTATATTGCTCTATTGCCCCAATCAGCCTGACCAGAGAACCTATAAAATTATATTTTCTTTGTCCATCTAGATCCACCCCTGAGGAAGAATGTTCCAAATTTTTATAGATCTGATGGTAAAGATCCTTTACCTTTCACCGATGTAAAACAATGCAGCTCATCCCAAAGAATGATGAAACATTTTAAATGCTCACGTGCAGTATTCTCCTTCCCATTAAAAATTATTATTTACTGTAATGTGGATTTGAACTTGTAAATATAATGTGACTACTCCATGAGTCATTTCCCTAGCACAGTCCCCTCCTTCATTACTTCTCTTCTGGGAGTGTCCAATTACTGCCTGTGCTGGCCCAGCATCTCTGTCCCTCCCCTCACCTCCCTACATAACCTTTTATATGGCTGCCAGGGGAGTGAAGAGGAATACTATATAGTGTCACTTGAGCAAAAGCTCTGAGTCTGCTGGCACTGCTGACATCACATACAAGATGGCAGCAACCAGCAGCAGTTTCAAGCTTTCAGCTGTTTATAAAAAGAAGGTTTTTTTAGTAAATGACATGCCTAAAATATGTTACATGCACTGATAATCCTAGAATCATCTGTCTGTTTTTTGTTAAAACGAATTGTCTGGAAGCAGGGTCTCTTTAAAGTCATCTCCCTTTACTTAGATGACGGTGTTAATGGAACTCAAGGCAATGCAGGCACAGACTACAAGATTATAACATTACCCAACCAGACGTTTCACAGACCAGGGATAGCTTTGTAGAGCTGCCATTTTTTATTATATGATCAAAATTTTAAAAAGGGGTCACTTTCATTTTTGTGGTTGCAATTATTTGACTAAATGTGCCTAATGGGTATTTTGTATATGCAGCCCCAAAGAGTGAAGGCTCAGAAGTCCATCAAGGGATCTTCAGCAAGATTTTGCACGCTAACAAAGGTAAATATTCTAAATCACAGGATTCCTTTCTGCATTATGAGGACGCTACATCAAGGCAAGGCAATAGATAATAACAAATTATAATGCACAAAGTTGTGCATTTCATGATCCTTTAAACCAGTGGTCTCCAAACTGTGACCCGGGGGCTGGATGTGGTCCTTTGATTGCCTTTATCTTGCCCTTGGGGCATTATTCAACCAACTGTCACCAATGATGGGGCACTATTTCCTCTACTGACACCATTTATGGAGCATTATACTTCTCTTTTATATCAACAAAGGAGAACTATTCCTCTCACTGATATCATAGTTACATAGTAAGTCTGGCTGAAAAAAGACAAAAATCCATCCAGTTCAACCATTAAAAAAAAAAAAAGTTATAATCCTATACCCACAGTTGATCCAGAGTAAGGCAAAAAAAAACCAGCAAAGCATGAGCTAATTTGCTCCTGCAGGGAAAAAAATTTCTTCCTGATCAATGGGGCACTATTCCGCCTATTAAAACCAATGATGGGGTGCTGATCCCGGGCCATTTTCTACTCCCACCAGCTACAGTCCGGACCCCTAAAGTCTGATGGACAGTAAACTGGCCTTTTGCTTAGAAAGTTAGGAGACCCCTGCTTTAAGCCATGCACTGGTGGACTAGCCAATAGCATGAGAGGAGGAATACTGTGCTTTGGTCTTAAGCTACAAACTCTTTATCATTGCTGGATGAATCTTTAAAATCAGTATTCCACAAAGACCGATGGTTTATTCCTATTCGCTTCTACCATTGCAGTGACACTTGTGAGATGAAGAGGTTGATTATTAAAAGAAAATAGACTGTTCACTTTGCAAAGGAAATTGTACTTTGCGTGGGAATTTAGTTGAAAATCAGCATCAATATCTTTACTAAACATGTGTATTCTTTTTTTTTACAATTTCTACTTCTGCAGCTACAATTAAAACTGAACTCCAGGCAGATAATAAATTCCTAAAATAAACCCTGGACCCTGCATTCACTATATCCGCTCTCCCTGGACCCTGCATTCGCTATATCCGCTCTCCCTGGACCCTGCATTCGCTATATCTGCTCTCCCCGGACCCTGCATTCGCTATATCCGCTCTCCCTGGACCCTGCATTCGCTATATCTGCTCTCCCCGGACCCTGCATTCACTATATCTGGTCTCCCTGGACTCTGCATTCACTATATCTGGTCTCCCCAGACCCTGCATTCACTATATCCGCTCTCCCTGGACCCTGCATTCGCTGTATCTGCTCTCCCCGGACCCTGCATTCACTATATCTGGTCTCCCTGGACCCTGCATTCACTATATCTGCTCTCCCACAGTACACACAACATGGAAATGCAATCATTTTAGTAAATATAAACTGCTAAATACCTTTTCTCATCAGAAGTCAGAGCAGTCTTGTGGCTTCTATCTGTGTCCAGCCCAGCAGTAGCTAAAGCTTGTAGAAGGAGTTTTCTTTCTGCTCAAGAAGTATGGAAATCCCCTGACCTCTGTCATGACAGTGCTGATTGGCCCTGTGCTGATCACACGCACTCTCCCAACAAAAAAAAAAAAACCTCTCTAGCAATATACACTAAACTGAGCATGTGCATGCCTACGGTTCAGTCTGGAGATAAGTGATAGTCGCTTGAAAAAAGGGGGGAACAGAGATGAAAGGATCAAACAGCCTTTTTTCACAATGCAGAGGATTACCCCTTAGGTTCCACAGTGAGTATAACAAGCATGCTTTACTGCATATACAGACTGATTGTACTTGTCAGGCACCGCCCGGCGGGATCTCTAGTGACCCACAGAACAGGATTCCCCAGGGCGCAGAGTCTAAGCCCCAGTCTGCCTTTTCACCAGAACCCCTGATGGTGGGGATGGACTTGGTGCGAGACTGAAACCAGGTCGCAACCCCTGAGTGCACCCAACTGTGGTAGAGGGGTCCCGCCGAGGGTACGTTCCGGGGGGGGGGTGAGCCTGCTGTGAAGAGGCTGACAAGTCCAGGTCCCGAGCGGGATGGATGGATGACAGTCAGGAATGAGCGTAGTCAGACTAGCCAGGTCGGTAACGGTGGAGGCAGGTAGGTACCAAACAGTAGACAGAGAGCAGCCGGGTCACGAGCCAAGATTCAGCAACGGGAGGTCCAATAGTAATATAACAACAGGCAGAAGAGTAGTCAGGGACGAGCCGGGGGTCAGAGCAGGAGAAGGTCAACACAAATCAGGACAAGCAGGATCGGCAACAGGAACACACTTCAGAACACGGGTACAGGAACTAGACCTTGCGGCAACCTAGTCACCGTCTGGCCAGTTTAAATAGTGCGCCCTGCACCGTCATTGGTGCAATTGCCAACTCCGACGCCCAGGTCCTAGTGCCTGCACATTAGTGCACCTAGGCAATCTGTGTATGTGCAGACCTGTGCGCCGCTGCGAGACCCGCAGTCCCTGACAGTACTGTTGTGGGTTTAGTAACACTTTAATGCAGCCCTGTATTCCTTACTACATCTTAGTTTTACTGTTTTAAATGCAAGTGATGTAAGCACCTTAATTTGAATTAGAATCAGCCTCTTGCAGTCCTTATACAGTAGAGCTCAGACTAGGGGTGGGAGAAGTAGCACAAGGAGTAGGTTAGCTGTGCTGTAGTGTCTGGTCCATTGTAATAGAAGGAGAGAGCAGAGTGACAGAGATGAACTCATCAGTCCTATAAGTGTTACTTAACTGCAGCAGAGGAAAATCAGGTCTTCTCCCCGGCCAAACAGGGCTGTACTGTGTCACGGAACTGAGTAAAGCCGGGACTGTGGGCTAAGTGAAAACAGATTCCTCCAGAAGGACAAATCTCCCCCTGTGCCTATTGTGTTCTGTTGGACACCCCAACATTGTATTGTACTGCATCTGATTGGGCGCAGCCACTGTAAGTTCTAAATTTCCTATCTGGATCGTTCGAAGGAACTTTCATTCAAAAGTTGTTGGGTGGAAGGGCCGACATAGCCACCCACATAGCAAATTTCAGTCAGCTGTGTATGGGCAGCCCAAATCTAATACATTTTAGAGTATTAACTGTAACCATTTTCTGTATTTTCAGATAGCGAAACACCCCTGTATGGAGGTGACATTCTGGTACAGACTGACCGCAGCGCCATTAACTGTACTTCTTGCCTTTGGCCTAGAAATGATGATGGCATTGTTCCTGTTCCCTACATCATATCATCCACATTCAGTGAGTTTCCTCCATTTTCTTACAGTGAAACATTCATTGCTATTTGTTATTTGTAGAAACCCAACCTTCTATCTCTGTTTCCAGGTCCCAGTGACCTGAATAGTATTACACTCGCCATGACAGAGTTTGAGTCATTGACTTGTGTGAGGTTTGTGCCTCTTACGACAGAAGACGATTATCTCAACATCTCACCTGAAGATGGGTAAGGTTGTCTTGTCTAACTATTGTCCAATATATTTCTCTACATAAAATGAAACATTAGGGATCATTTAAACATTTAACATCTTAGACTTTAACGCACGTATCTGTGCATGACTGCTCCTCTTTCCTCCAAAAACACTATAGAACTCCTCTGTACCTTTTAAAATATATAGGAAAGTCACAGGACAACAACAAGGTGTTTTTGGTGGTCTCCTTTTTCTTTTTACCTAGCAGAAACAGCACTTTTCCTGGGAAATCCTTTGTTTGCGACATGCATAGGGATACACCTGCCGCTATGAGTTAGAAAGTTCAAAGGTTTAGCACAAACTGATACTGATTGCTTTCTTTCTGTATCTCAGATTTAATCATTGTTTCTAACAATCCAATTGTCTTTGGCTCTTAAATTATATTAAAGTGCAACTCTTTTGAACTGGATATTTACTATTTTTAGCTGTTACTCATATGTTGGAAGAGTTGGTGGCAGCCAGACAGTTTCATTGGGTGGTGGCTGCGTCTATAGTGGGATTATACAACATGAATTAGAACATGCCCTGGGCTTCCACCATGAACACGCCAGAAGTGATCGTGACAACTATGTTGATATCAATTTCCAGTATATCCAGTATATCTCTGAAGGTAATGGGGATATTTACACAAAGAGAATTTAGCCATGTTTTCTAAAAAGAGACATTACCACTGCTTTTGTCTTGTTACAGGACACCAGGGTAATTTTGTTAAAGCGGACACTAATAACCTGGGCAGTCCATATGACTACGGTTCAGTGATGCATTATGATGCGTAAGTCATGACTTTTGTGTTAGCTGATGAATTACTAATAAATTCTAACATATTTTAATGGTAATATGTCGATCTTATCTCCATTCAACACTTTCCAGCTATGAATTTACTAACACCTCAAACAAACCCACAATTGTCCCCAAGCCTGACCCCAATGTGCCTATTGGACAGAGAATTGGACTGAGCGTCTTGGATGTCCTTAAAATTAACCGACTTTATCAATGCAGTAAGTTTCTGTACATTCCAATTTTATGAGTTTGAAACATTAGCAACATTTTCTAATTGCATTTTCAGTGAATTTTTACATTTTTGAAAAAAAATGTTTAGACAACAAAAGCAAAATGTGCACTTTATTTTCTGGGCCCAACTACGGATGCACACAATAAATACTGTACACTGATGTGGTATCCCCATGCATCTCAAATTCATTTTGGGTTCTGTATTGGTGGTGGGTCATGGCAATGATAAGAAAGATAAATTTAAAAAAATAATTATGGCTTACAATGTGGCCAGTTTTCTTTGAAAAACAGATTCCCACTAAGATTTACCACCAAATGAAGACTCAATTTGGCCTGAACAAAACAAGGTATAATTCACTGGGATACACAAAGTAGTTGCAAAAATAGTTTTACTAGCACATGCTAAAATTGCAAAACTGCATTCAGGCATTAAGGATTGCTTTTTTCTTCACCATAAAGGGGTTAAGCTCAAGGTTCCTTTGATTATAAATTCAAAATTTCAGCAGTTTTAATCTAATAGAAGGTAAATACCCCTCCCCCATTTCCCACAAATCCATTATTAATATGATTATTAGTCTGTTCCTCCAGTAACTAAATACAATATTTATGCCTATTTCTTACTTCTCAGGTGTCTGCGCTACCTTGCTTAATAGTAATACAGGAATTTTCACATCTGCCAACTATCCCTTTGCTTATCCTGATAATGCTGACTGCGTTTGGTTGATCAGGGCTTCATCAGGGCAGGTAAGGAAACAGGAATGTAGATATGCAATCTTAAATGTCTAGCAACCTAGCTGTGAAAATCAATTACCATATGAAGAATGTTTTGTAGACCACCCGAATTTTACATTTATAAAAACAACTGAGAATTGACGAATGTAGAGCCAAGGAATCGGTCCAAATACTCCCCACCTTAATATTACTCTTTTTACTTTGAAATATATACAGTATAAGACTACAGCGCTTTGTTTTGTCGTATTTTTCCACGGTGAAAGAGTTTCAGAGATGGATTGAAAAAGAGGAGCCATAGTGGTGGTTTGACGTTATGGCTGAGACAGAGATATGGAGTTGGCCCCCTGTAAGATGTAAATGCCTCTGAACCTCATACTCTGCTTCAACCACCAATGTCTCCATATGTTGGAATAATACTTCCCTTCATTACGGCCCACTTTATAGTCTTCAGACTATCGTTAATTAATTATTCATTAATGGATTAATTTGCTTTTACAAGTATGTTACCGATAGAAATAGTATTGCAATATCCAAAGACACAGTATTAAATCAAAGGTTTCTTTGACTTTATTCAATATAACAATAAACTAAAGACTTCTGTTAAGAGTTTATTAAAGCTTTTTGAAGCTTATTTGTCTTATTGAAGATACTACAAGTAATGAATCAGTAGGCAGCAGAAGAGTTCTGTGAACTGGAAAATCAATTAAATACAATTACATGTTTGAAGAGACATCTTAGTTACATAGTTAGTCTGGCTGGAAATAGACAAAAGTCCATCCACTTCAACCATTAAAAAAAAAAAGTTATAATCCTACACCCACAGTTAATCCAGAGGAAGGCAAAAACCCCAGCAAAGCATGATCCAATTTGCTCCTGCAGGGAAAAAAATTCCTTCCTGATCCCCTGAGAGGCAATCGGATATTTCCTGGATCAACTTTACCTATAAATGTACAGAAAAGAGACTATGGAAAAATCATCCAGTGTTAACCATTTTGGTGTCAGAAAAAAATTTTCATCAATATTGAGAAACTTCCATTTATTTCTGTGGTATCCCTAATACAGGAATACAGGGGGATCTTTAAAATAAAATAAAGACAACAAGAAAAATTTGAGCCCAACAAGTTCTCTTAGAAATTACTGTAAAGGGTTACCACATAGTTTAAATAAAACTTTTGAAAAACATACAGAAAAATCATGACCAGCTATTCAATAAGAACATTTTTTAAAAATCCATAAAGAAATAAAAGTTACAGTATGCAAAATCAAGTATACTATATTTGAAAATATATCCCCAACCATGGTTCTACTATTCATAAATATAAAACAGATTAAAGATCTGGGTCCAATAATTTAAATTGTTCCTTGTTTTTGCTTCTAAAGCAAGATCTCTAATGATTTTCAAATAATAAATTGCAGCTTTGCACAGACTCACTCATGCTTGCTAAAAACATAAATGGCCCTTATATTTGGATGCAGAGAATCCAAAGCACGTTAAAAAGATCATAAAAGCTTCTCAGATGGACTGATTTTAGACTCCAAGCACATGTTACATAGTGGCATAGTTAGTCTGGCTGAAAAAAAAGACAAAAGTCCATCCAGTTCAACCATAAAAAAAAAGAAGAAGTTATAATCCTATACCACTTATGTATTATACATGGAGATCATATCCCCCCTTATGTATTATACATGGAGATCATATCCCCCCTTATGTATTATACATGGAGATCATATCCCCCCTTGTGTATTATACATGGAGATCATATCCCTCCTTATGTATTATACATGGAGATCATATCCCCCTTATGTATTATACATGGAGATCATATCCCCCTTATGTATTATACATGGAGATCATATCACCCCTTATGTATTATACATGGGGATCATAACCCCCCTTATGTATTATACATGGAGATCATATCCCCCCTTATGTATTATACATGGAGATCATATCCCCCCGTATGTATTATACATGGAGATCATATCACCCCTTATGTATTATACATGGAGATCATATCCCCCTTATGTATTATACATGGAGATCATATCTCCCCTTATGTATTATACATGGAGATCATATCCCCCTTATGTATTATACATGGAGATCATATCCCCCCTTATGTATTATACATGGAGATCATATCCCCCTTATGTATTATACATGGAGATCATATCCCCCCTTATGTATTATACATGGAGATCATATCCCCCCCTTATGTATTATACATGGAGATCATATCACCCCTTATGTATTATACATGGAGATCATATCCCTCCTTATGTATTATACATGGAGATCATATCCCCCCTTATGTATTATACATGGAGATCATATCCCCCCTTATGTATTATACATGGAGATCATATCCCTCCTTATGTATTATACATGGAGATCATATCCCCCCTTATGTATTATACATGGGGGATCATATCCCCCCTTATGTATTATACATGGAGATAATATCCCCCCTTATGTATTATACATGGAGATCATATCCCCCTTATGTATTATACATGGATATCATATCCCCCCTTATGTATTATACATGGAGATCATACCCCCCTTATGTATTATACATGGAGATCATATCCCCCTTATGTATTATACATGGAGATCATATCACCCCTTATGTATTATACATGGAGATCATATCCCCCTTATGTATTATACATGGAGATCATATCCCCCCTTATGTATTATACATGGAGATCATATCCCCCTTATGTATTATACATGGAGATCATATCCCCCTTATGTATTATACATGGATATCATATCCCCCCTTATGTATTATACATGGAGATCATATCCCCCCTTATGTATTATACATGGTGGTCATATCCCTCCTTATGTATTATACATGGAGATCATATCCTCCCTTATGTATTATACATGGAGATCATATCCCCCCCTTATGTATTATACATGGAGATCATATCCCCCCCTTATGTATTATACATGGAGATCATATCCCCCTTATGTATTGTACATGGAGATCATATCCCCCCTTATGTATTATACATGGTGATCATATCCCCCCTTATGTATTATACATGGTGATCATATCCCCCCTTAATCTCCTCTTCTCAAGAGAGAATAAATTAATTAGTTAGAAATATCTATAGCTGTGAGATTGTTTAACAGAAATTAGAATCCTACATATGCCTATGGTTTTGTTCTTTTTTCTCTCTTCTGAAGGACTGTTTCAAGCATTTCCATGATTACATTATATTGTAACTACATAATAACCCAGTTTGCAGTTGCAAATATGTGAAGCGTATGGTTTTCTGTAGATAATACATTTTCTTTGTGTCACTTTTTAGGCTTCACTAAAATTCAGTAGCTTTATATCCAGTCCTCTCCTAACTGCGAATCTGACTACATAAGGATCTATGATGGTCCCTCTAAGGACTCTCCTATGTTGCTGGGTAAAATGTGCGGCAGTAAAACCATCCCTTTACTCATCGCCTCCACAAGTCATATGCTGGTTGAGTTTGTCAGTGACGGGGCTGTTGGCGGGGGTCGGCTTCCAAGCTACATATAGCTCAGGTATGCTGATTTATTTTTATGGTAAAGAAAGTGTTCAGGAAACACTGAAGAATCATAGATGCAGAGCCAAGGAGGAACTATTGACACAACAGTCTGATGTCTTCTCACTTCTGTTTGCAACTTTTGAGCTAATCCATAAAATCTCTTAGTATATCCAATCAGAATGAACCAGTCGGTTTGGCCCTGTCTCACTATAAAGTTGTTTATAGATTGTTCAGTGTGTATGTTGGTCAACTTTAATTTAACACTGACTCCCTTCCCCAGCACTGCATGAGATCAATGCTAGCTTTGCTTAGGGCAGTTTGGAATAAGTACAAAAACTTACCCTGGCAGCCAGTGCTCATCTATGCTCTCCAATGTTCTGGTATGTGGGCGAGCCCTCAACCTGTCCATGTACAATTCATGACTGCTGATCCTGTGTTGTACTTGATGACATCTGAGAGTATGCGGCCAGGGGAGCAGCAAAAAGAAGCATCTTCAGTCTGACAGCATGGAGGAAGCCTGTGGGAGGGAGAAATAAGGTAAGCATTTCAACCTATTTATCTCCTTTTAGACTAAAAAAGCATTTAACCCAAGCAGTGCCGCGGGGGAATACAGGATCAATACATTTTACAGCAGCCTGCATTTTGGCTTTGAAGTACTTACTCTATTTATGACAAAATAATAGGTTTGCATGGTAGCCCTCCAACCTCAACTGCAGTAATTTACCATCAACATACTCCAATTTTCCCACT